AATTAGCTTAGTGGATACCACTGGGCTTTCATGTGCGGGCTCATGTCTGGCGTGGCGCTTCTATTTTGAGGAACCTGTGAAACAGCTCAATCTAGGCACATTTGTTTCGCGATTCGCGACTATTCCCACTACATAAGTGTCGACGTGCATTCCGCTCTTTTGGTTTGTACTTCTGTTGCCGGGACGCTTTTGCCGCGAACGCCGCCTGTCCTCTCTGAGCTTCTTTAAGAACTGTTCTACATATTCGTGACCCATCGTCATCTGTACCACTCCCCGGTGAGTGACAACGAAGTGCTCGCGGAACCGCTTTGGATTGCGCTGAAGATGGAAGGTATTACAGTTATCCATTCGGCACGTGTATACTTGTCTGGTAACTGAGGCAACCTTTTAGCAGACAAGACGATGTGCCCTATCATACCCGTATTTCCCTGAGTGGCTTGCATCTGACGCATCTCCGTGTCGAAATATGGCGTGGCGTCGAATTCGCGGGGGTCTTGACGTCCTACCATTACAAAGTGTGAACTGAAGGAGGTTAAACTGGGAACGGTTCTCACAGAGCCTTAAAACCTGAAAAATACTATAATATTGTGGCATAATACTTTTAACAAGTTTCTACTAATTACTATAACACCAGTGCAATAGAAAGACTTGATACCATATGAGAATCTCATAATGAGATGACTTAATGTCATTGAATCATTAAATTAATGATGATCATCAATACTGATCACTGGTGATCACTCGCTGAGATATCTAGCTGCTAGATTCTAGCAATGCCAGACTGGTATAATGGTTCATTACGCCAGATACCTTACCAGCAGACTTCTGGGAGGTGCCTTACTCCTGGCAGGAGTAAATTACACGAAATGCAATGATTTTACGATGTAATTGCTATAGCAATCGTCCCGTTACTATGCCGCAAAGTTTGCGGTCTTCGATACTCTCCAGGAGAAATCAATTGGAGGAAAGCCGAGACATCAAGATAAGGCGCGCGCGAAGCGCGCGTTAGATCCCAGGGAATCTTTCCTTGGTTTCCTCATTCTTTCCTCATTTTTTCCTCTCTTTCCTCGGCTGGAAAGTTTGCCGTGATTCTTTCCGCGTTTCAGCCACCCTGTTCAGAAGATGATCACAGGAAGTTGTCCTCGTTGTGTCCGCGCTTCTCTGGAGAAGGTGATGTTTCCTCTGATGTTAACACTGGCGTTGAACTTTTCTTAAAGAAGTTCGATACCTCTCTGCAACTGAGAGGCCTTATTCGTCCAGGAGTCGATGCTACCCCTGCTGAGCGGGAGAGGTTTGGAGCCAAGGCAGCGGGTATTCTCAAGTCAGCCCTCAAGGGTAGGGCAGCAGTCGTGGCGTACCCACTCCCCCAAGAAAAACAGGACAACTTTGACCTCCTCGTGGCCGAGTTGAGATTGGCCTTCGGCTTGGATAGTCTCACGGCGTGGGCGGCGTTCTGCTCGAGAAGAATGGGAGAAACGGAACCTATTGATGGTTATGTTGCTTACCTTCGGGTACTATTGGACATAAGTCACCCTCGTCTAGGACAAGGGGCTAAGAGCGAGATTCTACGCAGTCAGTTCGTCTGGGGTCTCCCTCAAGGAACTGCCAAAGCTTTAGTCCTAGCTAAGTATGAGGACGGTACTGTGCCGTTGGAATCCCTCGTTATTCTTGCCAAGGACCATCTCAAAGCTGCGCGCTTCGAGGGGTCGAAGAGCATCGAGATAGCCGCTGCAGCTATGCGTATGCGTGCAGACCAAGGCAAGGGCAAGAGAGGGTGGCATAGGTCTCCTGGCAAGGGCAAAGGTATGGCAAGGGAGGCGGACTATACGGGTAAGGGTCAAGGAGGCAAGG